GGGTGGCTGGGTGGGGGGGCAACAGTCAGATCAACAGAGCAAGCAAACCATTGTAGAGTTCATTTTTTGTTGTTTTTTAGTCTAAGGAAGCACGTCTTACCTGTTTAGTCATAGAGTCAATGAGACGAACATACAAGTCCTGCTCCGTCCTGATCCCTGCACACACACACGTTAAAAAGTCAAAGCGTTTACGGGCTGGGGAATCTCTCTGAGCACAAAATGTATTATTTCTGGTTTCCCCTGCGAGCCACTTCATGGAAACGATGAGTCTAAACTGTTAATAATGACTTTCAGTATTTGTTGCACGCTGTCAGTTTGGTTGGAACTTGAAAATTCAATTTGCTGTCTTTACTGTGTTGATTTTATCTGCATAAATATTTAGTATCAACTTAAGACTGAAAATAAGCACAGCAGGAGTCTACTAAAATATAATCAATACAACTTAATTGTTCAACGAAGGAAGGAAGACTTTTAAAAAAAAAAAAAGTTTAAAAGGAAGACGTTTTATTTTGCAGCTTGGAGTTTTTTACTCCTAAAGAGAAATACACTGCGTTTATTGGTAGAAGCAACAGAAACAGCAATAAGTAAATACATAAATAATACAAATAATAATTAAAAAACATGCTTTTGTTTTTTCATTTATGAGTAATAATGCAATAATTTAAAAATATCTGAAGTTATCATCTTTCATGTTGGCTGAAAGCTAATAAATCCATAGAAGAAAACTATAAAACCTCTAAACCGAAGCTCAACCAAGTGACCACCTAAAACATTTATTTCCAGAGTTTTCTCACTTGCGTTTGACGTTTCATTGACACGCTGCTTCTGTTATTGCTCCATAAAAATTATGGAAACCAAACTCACCGTTACTGTAGAGGAGCTGAAGTCTATAATGGATCCCATTGTTGGTCTTTTCCCCCGTCATTTCCTATGAAAATTAAACCAGACCCGGTAAAAGCAAGCAGACAAGCGAGCCACCTCGTCCTGGTACTTCGACTGCATGTCTACAACTTGATATGTATATATATA